CAACCGTTCAAATGAGCTCGAATGCTTTCGGCAGCCGTTCAAATACGGTGGTTGCTGGTTTCGTGCACGTTCATTCGGTTTGCCGAAGTCAATATCAGTATGAGCTTTTAAAGTATCGTTCACTTGTGGTGGCCGTCTTTGCAAGCACTGCACGCGTTGCGCTGTTGTTCATTCATCCCCCGTTTTTAATGTTAGTAGGCTTAAAGTCACAAAAACAGCATTGTTTGCCAATCTCTGCTTTCCACCCAGGGTGAAAACTCATCGTGTAAATTGGCTCCATGAGGCAAATTGACTAAGGGCCGGTTGTTCAATATCTGGTTATCACTACCTCCCAGTTAAACATTATTATCGACGATTTCGACTTCATGCATATAAAGTGCGTACTCTTATGTAGATAATTATTTTGGCGACGACCGGGCTACGCGACGACTGTGGTTGTGGCCAGATTAGATCTATTCAAACCCCTTTTTATTTTAGTGTGGTAGAATCGGCAAAGAAAATGAGGCAGATTTTCCAATTTATCACCCCTATGCTGTAACCCGAATGTTCGTAGCTACGAATTCGTAGCTCCGTTCCGAAAATTGATATGCTGTAATCCGATCGTAACTATCAGCGGCGCTGCTAGCTAAAAACGTGAAATTCGAAGTTCTTAATCAGCTGCTTTGACATAAACAAATCAAAATAAATATAATCGCAAGTGAATAGTGCAATTAAAAAAACTAGTTTAATCATTATTTAAAAAGAGTTTTCCTTAATTAAGTAGAATACAAAGGATTCAGTGGCCGGTGCACTTTTGTCCCAGGAGGTAGAACACCTAACAGTTGCTAATATACAAAGGAGATTGTTCTGTTAGCTTAAATGATAAAATGTAAGCTCCCTACTTTTAAGGGCCTCCATTTCACTAGATATTGACCTTCTTTAATTCTTGGAACGCTTTCCCAAAATTCCAGCACATCCTCTTAGCTCCTTTTACAAAGCCTCGACCAATGTCTGGCCTTTCGTTCATGCATTCCACCAGTTTTGCGTATTGCGAGCGATTTGTTGTGATCTTCGTTCTGATATTTTTGTAAACATTTAATAATACATTTTTTTTCTATTCACACTTCAACTTACGTACCTACTTTTGTGTTTACACTCTTTACTTTATTGATATTTTAATACAATTTGTTTCGCTCCGACACGAGTTGCTATTCGTACAAAATTTCCGACAAATACATAAAAATGACAGCTACGTCGGGTTCAGGCATACCAACATTACGAATTTCGAAGATGGCGACAACGCGGATTACAGCATACCAATTTTACGACTCGTAGCAAAATCAAATCTACGACGGATTACAGCATAGGGATGTATATTTTTATTGGGTATACATTTCGCACACCGTCTTCAAAAGAGGCACAACTCGAAAATTAGATCGGGAAATATAAGTGCTAGTGGATCGTACAGATATAGTATAAGTATAACATTCGTTTTCTACTTAGAAAATATAATCATAAAAAAAAAAATATTTTTTTATTAATTTGAGAAAAATCCTACAGACTCATTTATGCAAAAAATCCACCAAATTATTTTTCCATTGCAAAATACTTTAGCAAATATAAATATGCGGATTTTTGAAATATTAAAAAGTTAAGGTACAGATATATTGAAAGCAGAATTCATGATATACCTTTTTAGAAATTTATTGATTAATTTTTATATTTCGTATTAGAATTGAGTTGAAATTTTAGATTTATGTGAAAATTGTAAACAAATGTTCTGTCCAAAAATGTGGTAGATTTTAAGCCTTGTGTGGTAGATGTGGTAGACACCCAAATTTTAAAAAATATGTGGTAGATCTACCGCATATGTGGTAAAGGTTTGCACACTGGATCTATTTCTATTTTTCCAACGACAGATAAGGTTCTTCCTCTTCTTTTATGTCAAACTCATACAAGTTCATGATGTCGCTGCCGCGTTCAAAAACATCATGTCGCCATCGACAAAGCATTTAGATAATGAAGATAACAAATTGGCAGCTGTGGCCCGTAGCTCGTCGTTTTCAATGTGTTCAGAACTTAACATGTGTGCGATAAAGCAGTCGTTGTATTTAACCGGAGCTTCTACTTCCGATTTGTGTTAACCAGACATTGAGCAACCGGCCCTAAATAGCTTAGCTATTCTGTGCATTGAGTCCGATTGGGCCTGAGCACACTAGCCTGCACAGTCGGACTGAGCAGTCCACCACTTGAACGCACACTGGACTGGGCAGTCGGCCGAAAACAGGTTTCAGTTTTGTATACATGAAGTACGCATAATTGTGTTAGTGCATGTGGCACATGCAAACAAAACGAAATAGAAAACATGTTGTCTATGTGTGCGTGTCAGTCCACCGTCAATCCGCGATTTTCGCGGACTGAAATGAGCGAGGTAAACTCGAACTCTCATTCCCCTCTTATCCACACAAAACCGGTTTTTGGCGGACTGAGCAGTCCAGTGTGCGGAGGCCCATTTACTCCAACGCTTGGAATGTGAAGATTTGTTTCCATTCAAAAATATGTATTAGAACTCACAAGTGTAATCAATTTTTAGTTGCATTATCATATGTATAAGAATATGTAAATATGGTTATTATCTTATAATTAAACATTGAATGAATTTAACCACATATTTTGCATTTCAGTTGTGAATTGTATACGCAAAGATTTTCTTATATTTCATGTACGTTAAAGAATAAAAGGGTGGCCTGTTTCACAGGGCACAGGGCGGCATTTTAAGTAAATCCAGCCCTGTTTATATGGAAGAAAATGCTTACCACCGTCGGCAAAAAAAAACTAAAAAATCTAATTTATAGATACAGAAAATTAGTTGTCGAAATGTAGTGATAGTTATGCAGCTATAAAAATTTTACGGGATTATCGAAATTTGTCGAGTTAATGAAATTTATCAAGCTATCGAAATTTATTGCATTATCATTATTTATAGAGTTAATGAAATTTATCGAGTTCTTTGAACTTATCGAGTTGTCGATATTTATTTAAGTACTAAAATTTTAAGATTTATCGAATCGAAGTTTTTGGAATTTTCAAAGTATATCGAGTTATTGAAATTTTTAAAATTAATACGTTTATTGAATTATTACTGCTTATCTTATTTTAAATGTGTTACCAGAGTGTAACGAGTTATCGAGATTTCTCTACAGCTTTCGAAAATATGAGGCATCAAAATTTACGGAATTATCGAAATTTATAGAGGTATCCTAAATTTATCGAGTTATCGATTTGGCTAGAGATATATAGACTTTTGAGTTATTGAAATTTATCGAGCACTTAAGGGCACAGTTATCGTAAATTATCGAAATTGGTCGAGTTGTCGAGTTTTGTTTAGGTACCGGATTTTAGTGTTATTGAAATCCGTTGAATTATCGGCATGTACCAAATTATCGACAAACTGGTATGTATCGGGCCAATCAAAGTACTGCCAAAGTCCTCCAAAGATATAGAAAATTGTAGTCACGATTTAGTTTCAAAGCAAGAGATTTTCGATAGGTAATTTTGTACGTTACGTTGTATAATAATAATAATAATTATTATTATTATAACTATAATTATAACTAAATAAAAAAAAATATAAAGAATCCTCTGCGCCCGAGGAGTACTCGAATCCGGACCCTCTCGACCGGCAGCCTAATGCTTTGACCACTTGGCCATTACGACTCTTCGGGCGGCGCCGCAAAAGGCATACATAAACGCTATCAGTTGACTGTCTGTGTTTGTTTTCACCACACATTTTCTCTCCTACTGAATAGCCAAATCATCTCAAGTCGCAAAAATAGTCACTAATTGCTAATCTCAAATTTAGTGACTTGAAATGACACTGAATTACTGAATCCCAGGGTAATATAAAAATAGGTTTCTTGTAGTCCCTGAACAAATAGATGCCCTACTGATTGAAATACGGCCTTGAATTTATATCTGTGCATGTATATACTCAAAATTGATATTTATAATTGAGTTTAACCCTTTTATAACTTTTTAAATTAGAAAATAGCATAAAAACCTACCCGGGTGCCCGGCAGAATTGGATGTCCTTTTTATGGAAGGAACCGATGTGGCTGAGTGGTTCAAGGTGCGCCATACCACCCCGTGAGGCCTGGGACAAATCCCTAATCCCTACTTGTAAATTTTAAAATATTTTTTCTAACAGCCCTCGGCAGAGAACGGCACACCTCCGAGTGTATTTCTGTCATGAAAAAGCTTCTCATAAAATCCATTTGCCGATCGGAGGCGGAGTAAAACTGTAGGTCCCCCCATTTGTGTAACAACATCAAGACATACACCACAAATTGGAGGAGAAACTCAGCCAAACACTTAGCGTGTAAGCGCCAAACTATTAATAATAATAATAATAATAGATTGGCGCTTACACATATGTTAGTGTTTGGCCGAGCTTCTCCTCCGACTTGTGGCGTGCGCCTTGATGTTGTCACACAAATCGGAGGGACCTACAGTTTTACGCCGACTCCGAACGGCGATTGTATTTTTAGGAGAAGCTGTTTTTCATGGCAGAAATACACTCGGAGATTTGCTATTGCCTGCCGAGGGACGACCGCTGTTAAGAAAAAAAGACCTTTTTCTATATTTTTTGCGATGTTGCTTTGACCAGGGCTTGAACCCAGGTGTTGATGAGTGAAAGCGCGCACTACTTACCACTACACCACAGCGGCCGACAATACACCACAGCGCCAAACTATTACCATTATTATAAAAGTTTTAGAAATATTAGTGAAATTACTACATTTTTACAGGGAAAAAGTTGAGAATCAGAAAAGTTTGTGCCCTGAGACAAACCGTAATTTGCTTGTTGTGCCGTGTTGACACTTAAAAACCCTCCAAATTACTACCAAATCCTCAACCTGGCAACTCATTTCGCTGATAACGCTACTGTAGTTAGGTTGCAATCGCTATTCATCATAAAAGCAAACATAAACCGATTGTAAAATACACAACAACATGCTTACCAACAATAAATATAAGATGCACGTTACGACAAGTGACAGTCCTCCACATTTCTTCATTGCCAGTGAAATAATAAAAGCCCCAAATAGCGCTAGCAAATTATCTGATATTGGTCCGAGTTTTTGAAAACACCTAGAAAAAATTTGTATGTAAAATCAAAATCAACTGGGTACTTGCATATTACCAGTTAAATATTCTCGAGAGTCCGCTTGCACTAACAATTATTAAAATCCAAATGAAAGAAACAATAAGTATTGATAATACTATAGCCATGCTGTGAATAATAACAACCAAATAAAGTGATAATTCGCGAACTGCGCCATTGCTTTCATTCGGTGTCAAGAATTTGCCCAATAAACGACAACCTAAAATTTAAGAGGAAAATTTTAATTATTTCTATATGTATGCATATGTAGCTAAATATGTAAGTTTAATGAGTTGCGAGGATAGAGAAATTAAAGACTCGTATCAATATGAGATTGGTGTAGTGAGAAAATAACCACATTTGTACATATGTATAATATGTTAAAAATAACAGGCATACGACATTTTGACCAGTTTTGGCTATTTTTCTTTTGAAGGTGTGCCTTTCTCTGCCGAGGGTTGTTACTTTTTATAAAAACACACCTCATTACACCGTGCGACAAAAAAAAATCACAGCACACGAAGCAATCAATAAACTCACTCATTTTTAGTTTTTCTCTCTGACGTCAGGATTTTTTTAAAGAACTTTATAATTCCAGAGATATGATAAATTCCAAAAATCATTTTAAAAATTCAATGCAATGCAGAATAACAGTATGGATACCAAATGAAATAGAAAATTCTGTAGAATTCAAAAAAAACTAAAGGTTCACAATGACGAATAGGTATTGAGACTGCCCTTTTAATCAAATTTATTTTTTAAACTTTGTTAAAAGAAATTTCGTTTAAGAATTTAACCTTTGTAAACTTAGTTTATTGTCAAGAAAAACATTTTTTTATTAAAATTTCGGAACAAATGCACAATACCTACAAATCTCGAATTAAAAAAAAAAAAAGGATCGATAGAGATCATTGAGGTAAACATAGCGGTATATATATATTTTTTGGGAAACAACAACTACAACAATTACACTATGCGACAGTCAAAATCGGGATGGGATGAAACCAACGGGAAATGTTATATCGGTCAAAAACAAGTTATACGTGGCCCGGCGTTTCATAAAAAATCCAAAACGGAAAAAAGTGTCACGTAAAGTCACATAACATTGTTTGAAAAATATTTTCCCACCAATCAGCAAAAACATAAAACAAAAACAATAAACATAAAATAAATATTCTTGTCAAAATGAGATGCCTTCACTTAATTGTGAATAAAAGCGAAACGCGTCCATCGATTTTTATGATCTATGTCTCATTTTGCTTAAAGGTTATGTGACTTTGCGTGAAAGTAATACGACTTGCCTTTTTTTCCGTTTTGGATTTTTTATGAATTTAAAAAATAAAAAAAATTAATATTTTAGGCAAAAAATATTTTTTTTCTTCATACATTTATATTTACCGGCAAAACTGTTGATTATATAGAAAAACGTTATATGAACAGATTAAAGGAATTGTAATTTTTAATTTTTTTAAATTTGTTCGAGCAAAATCGGACTAGTGGTTCTCGAGTTATGTCAAAAAAAAAGACCACCAAAGGTGACAATTTCCCCTATATGATAGTTACTAACTTCAAATCGATATATCTCGATTCCTAGACGTGTCCCGGCGTTTCGCTGGGTATAACTTCTTTTTTACCGATATAACTTTCCCCGGTAGTTTGAACCCTTCCCGACCATTGACCCCTACCATTTGTCTCACAGTGTTATTAAAGGTCAAAGTTCAAATTAAGCATTTTTTAAATTAACATTTCTCGAAAACCTCTCCAAGGAATTGGGCAATTTTGATGCCATTTGATAGAGAGTTTAATTCTCTTTAATTTGATATACATATTTACACATATACCTTTTTATAGTTTTCACAAAAATTTAATTAATGTGTGTATTTGCGTAGGCGGCCTTCGGCCGCACTTATGGATTATAACCCTCACAAAGTAGAATTCTCTTTCTGTGTTGCGAAGAAAAGGCGCTGAACACCTGTTGCACAGAACACCTTTCTGCGTAGGCGGCCTTCGGCCGCGCTTATGGATTATAACCCTCACAAAGTAGAATTCCACATTAATTAGATTTTTGTGAATACTATAAAAGATATATGCATAAATATGTATATCAAATTAAAGAGAATTAAATTCTCTATCAAATGACATCAAAATATCGAGAAATATTAATTAAAAAACATGCCTAATTTGAACGTTGACCTTTAATAATTGTTGTAGTTGTTGTTTCCCAAAAAAAAATATATATATCGTTACGCTCACCTCAATGATCTCCATCGATCCCAACATGAATTTTTTTAATTTGAGGATTGTAGGTATTCTACATTTATGCCAAAATTTCTTTTCTAGAACAACCTTCTTTTCAATTAAATATACTATAAAGCTAAAAAAGTTAGAAGGACGAAATTCTAAATTTTTGTCGAGATTATATTAGTCTTTAGCATACTTTTTTCAAAAATATATATTGCAAAATTTCAAAGATATTCAAGGATAAGATCGTTTAAGCCGCCGCTTAAACGTACTTTAGCGGCCGTGCGCGCATCCTTTGGCCGTAGCTGTGTGGAGTCGAAGCGACCCCGAAAATTATTCCCGGGCGCGCACAGCCGCCTACCATCATCGTGCCAAGTGAATTGGAGTTTCAGTTCATCAATTAACGCCAGTTAACGCGCACGCGTTCTAGTATTTCAAGTCATTGCAAGCTTATCTTCCAATAAATTTTATACATGTATATGCAAACATATACACATTGGAAATTTTAACCTTAAACAAACTAAAACTTTGTTTCTCAAACTCAAATCTTTCCCTTAAGCGGAAATTTTACTGTTTATTGGGGTGAGTGCAAGGGGACCAAGCGTAAAATTATTCATGGTCCTTCGAGCCGGATACTAAAGTAGTTAATTTCTGGCACCCCAAATGATGCTCAATAATCTTGCTTGATGCATCACAACTCTTCCGGAGTTGCTTCACGGGGCTCTGTATGACTTTCAGCATACAGAGGTGGTACAAGAGCTGGCATTGGCCACAGCGCCTACCCAATTTTCTAACTTGAATACATAACCGATGCTCAACTTGCTTGACGCATCCACCCACAATGCTCAACAAACTCACTTGATGCATTACAACTTTTCCGGAGTTGTCTCACGGGGCTCTGTATGGCTTTCGGCATACAGAGGTGGTACAAGAGCTACCATTGGCCACAGCACCTACCCAATTTTCTAATTTGAATACATAACCGGTGCTCAACACTCCCGCTTGACGCGCACCCCCAAAATCTCTTACAGAGTTTAAGCGGCAAAGCCACAGCGCTACAAGCCGTAGGGACTCTGCATGACTTACAACCATGCAGAGGTGGTAACTGATGGTTATCATTGGCCCCGATGCCTACCCAAAACATTTTGCTATAAT